TTATAATATGTTTTATATATATTTATATATGTAATTGAGTCAATTTCAATACAGAAAATCTGATATAAATCGGTTTATCTAAACATAATTTAGTTTTTCATTTTAAAAATTGTGAGATTATCATTTATCAATATAATTTGAAAATTTTCCACCGATACTTCAAATAAATATTTGTGAGATTAATCCCCATCAAAGCAGTTTTTAAATTTAGACATTTTCTTTAGTTTTGACAACTTTTTCACTAAAAGTTGTTATTTTTTAATTTAAAAACACTTATCGAAATCATTTGTCAGTTTTTGTCTTTTTTATTATTAAAAAATATATAGATTTTAACCGAAGCGTCTTGGGTAAACATGAGTACTCAATAAATTTTAGTTAATATTAATCCCTCTTCTAAATAAAACTTTAAATTTCTATAATGAATTAAATAATTTTGTTTATCAAAAAAGTAAGAATTAATTTATTATTATAATTATTATATTTTAAGTATAATTTAGTTGATACAGATTTTTGCTAATTCAATAATAAGTCATACAGAATATCAATATGTTCAGAAGTTAAGGGTAGATCATTATGTCTATCATGAACATTTTCCAGATATTTTAAATCGACTTCTAAAATATAGTGAAAATTATTACTCTCAGGTATACTACAAATGTCTAAAGCATGGGTTGGCAACCTGCGGCTCGCGAGCCACATGCGGCTCTTTGGATGTGAAGCTGCAGCTCTTTAGTTCCATATTCAAATATTATTTATTTTATAAAAAAAGAAACATTTAAAAATCGTTCTGAATCGATCAACAAGGATTAGGCACTGATTCTATCTCTCAGCCACTTGTACTCACTTTTCACTGCACCCCTCCCCCGTGACACGCGTGGTCACTGTCGTCAGTTCGTCAGAAGCACTCGAATGACGCCGTTGTCAGATGTTTCTATTATCTAATTTGTTGTGAAAAACACTACTTGTATATGAATAAATAGATATTTTTTCTTATGATTAAATAGATTAGTTTTTTTTATCAAAAAACTTTATTTATGCGAGTACTATTTATTGTTGGCAAGAAATAATTTTGTGGCTCTTTAAAAACTTTGAAATTTTGTAAATTGTAATTTTGGCTCTTCCGACTCAAAAGGTTGCCGACCCCTGGTCTAAAACATTTATCTCCTCTCTGGATCACCATATGACATTATTTATCGGTCACTAAGAACTTATTAGAAGTCCATAAAGATTATTCGCATCTATTGAATAAGGCTGATTTTTATCAAACATTTCGGGGATTAGAGGGTTTATCCACAATTCGAGGTTAGGTCTCTGGTTCCGTTACAAAATATACAGGATTTATATTACGATATTTTAAACTTAATTTTCTAAAATTTTGAAATATATCAGCTAATAATAATATATTGATATAATATTAAATAATCTCTAAAAATTTTATAATGAAATTTTTTCCAAACTACTTTAATGGTTGTAACCATCATCACAAAGGTTTTCTCCAGATACTTCATTATAAAAATATTCTTTTGATTTTTCCCATTTGGTATTTTTGAAAATCAAATGAAAATTATAACTAGTAAAATTATGTATTATAATAGAAATAAAGGTTTTAAAACTATAATTTAACCACTCAGCAGTGAGTGAGTGAGTATTTCTCAAGGGCAATCGTATGGCAGTAGTGAGGGATGAATATACTCGTCAAAGTCTTTTGGGAGTATTGCCAAAAACGACAGTAAAAAGATTTAACATCAAAAATGAATTATGTCACAATAAAAAAAGACTTTTTTTTACTAGACATAACTGTTTACAAAAACTTTTTCCTAAAACAGTACTGAGAAAAAAAAACACGTGAAAAAATACTTTACCACAATAAAAAGTAGTATATAATAAAGTATCATGATTTTCAAAAACAATCGAATAAGATATCAGTTTAAGAATTTTAACAGTTTTAGTGGAACTAGAATTAAGATCTACCGATTCTTACTTCTAAAATTCATTCAAAGTCGTTATATACACAGATAATGGATATTTTAAAGTAAATATTATTATTGTGTCATTTTAATTGGCAAACATTAGTTTAATTTTTGGTGTCTTTTTCATTCAACATTATTTTCAAAACTGGAAGTCTCACCATTATTGAAACATAACACAAATAGAAATTTTTTATAAANCTTGTAAAATTTTTTTTTATACTTTACATAGAAAACTTAAGTTTTAATTCTCGAACTATTTATTAGCAATTTATATTTTTCTAATTCTAGGGAGGCTCGATTCTAGTTGGCATGTGTGTTCTTCAAGCAATCGTCTGTCCTTATTTACTTGTATTAATTGCTGTCCTTTCAATAATATTTTACGCTTTGTGGACAATTTTCAGCCGAGTGTTAAAAAGCATAAAACATCTGGAAGGAAAATGTAAGTATTTCGAATATAGAAGAGTGTCTTGTATTTAACTTACTTGCGTGCTGAGTAATAGCGACAATATTCTGTAAACAGAGATGAAGAGAGTCATTAAAAACACTATTTTATGATGCCGAGTTAGATTGAAAAACACTATAAACAATTACTTAATCTCATAAGTTAAAAAATTTCTTAAAATTAGAGTGAAACAATAATGTATTAGTTCTGTAATTATGAAGACAGACTTACTTATGTCAGAACTTTTTTAGTCATCATTAAATCCAGTGTTTTATTAATATAATTGACAACAGCCAGTCTATGACTTAAATAAATAGACCAGTTACATTACAATAACAAATTTTAAAATATGAAAAATTCTACAGAACAATTGAATAAAGGATCATTTGTATTCTGTTCACTTACTTCAAGTCGATTTCAAAATATACGTTAGGGTAAATTAATAATTACAGATTTTTCGCGACTATACATGAAAAAGTGAATTATCCTTGATTTAAATAAACAACGTTAATTTATTTACAGAGAAAGTTATATGTACAGTAACAACCAGCTTTGCATCAGGTATACATTTTTAAATGACACAGAACTAAACGAAACAGCGTTAAACAAGATCATTTTAATACCGAGTAAATAGAGAAAGAAAAACACGCAGAAAAAATAAACAGATTCTAATTTTATGTTAATTTTATATTAATCTGTAAAATAATTTTCGTTAAAAACACATAAAGAAGTAATTTAAATTTAAATTTCACATTTTGCACACAGAAATTTAAAGTTCACATTTTGTGATGAACGTCTTGACTTTTCTCAAATTGTTGATTTTTGCGATAAAATCGTGTAGTTTCATTTGTCACTTTTTTTCTTTTCTTAAGCAAATATCAGTAACAAGAGATTTCATCCAAAACGCATTGTTTTGTTTTTGCACCCCTTTCAAATTTAGGATCATTTGCTACAATTTGATTAACGGGTTCGGTTATCGTTATCAAACGTTTACTAAGAAAATATGTAGAGAAATTCTTCGGGTTCTTCATTTTCAGAACCACCAGTTTTACATAAATTCTTTGTTGTGCCAGTTCTTAACAGTTGTCCTTGGTAAGGCTCGTCCTGCTGTATCAATTAGGACGATAATTTTCTCAACTTAACGATACAGCGATAGACTATTTTCGTTGAGAATTCTTGAATACCTTCATCCATAACTTCTTCCATACTTCGTTCATGCATTTATCAGTTAATTTTTCCCAAGCGATGTCGATATCCCCTGTGGCAGAAGTTTCCAAACTTCGTTGATTATCGAGCCTTTGCTAAATCCACATTTTCTCAAGGTGCCCTGTGGCAAATTCTAACAACTAAAATTTACAAAATAGCCAATATTTTTTAAATTACAGAGCATCATCAGTACAGATATCAATGCATTTGCACCAGGTCTGCTAGAAGTCGCATCTTATCACATTGAATTAAAAGTGAAAGTAAAATTATGAACATTTTAAAATAATTTTTAACGGCACCCCTGTGAGGAAGCAGCGGCGCACAATATGGGATTCGCTGGCATATGATATTTATGACGTTATATTTTTTCGAAAATTGCACCAAACAAACAAAAATTTAAAAACAGTGCAGTTATACAACGAATTGCCACCTTTTGATAAATGGTTCGTGTTTGGAAATAATCGTTTTATATACGAATCAATGAAATGCAGCGATAGTTCGAATCAGTGTAAATTGAGAGCTTATTTTAGACTTCGAGCAGACGGCGTTATATCGAATCAGCAAATCGACAAAGCGTTAAATTAGGTCTTACTGTAGTTACAGGTATTGTTAAAATTTCAGATGTAATTCTTTCTTTGGAAAATTTTTACAATATCTATTTGTTTGAGTGACTAATATCATAATTGTGTGTTTATAATATTTTATTTTATGAGAGTGCAAAATTAAATAGATTTTTTAATAATGGGGGTTTAACAATTTTACAGTAAATTTATTATCATGCTTAAATCATAATTTAAAACGTTGTAATTAAACATTTAACACAAATCTTTTATATTTTGCCATTGACGATTTACAGTTTCTGATATTGGCATTTCATACACACAACACCTTTAATATCTCTACTGAAACAGTTAGCGTTAATGTAGGGTGAGGTCGTCTGAACATATATATTGATTACAGTTTTTAAAAATTCAGAAACTTCCAGTAATTGTATTTCAATGAGAGACCAGGACTAATAAGACGATCTTTTGAAATTCTGCATTCCACTCGTTAAGTAACTTAATGTAAAGTTCTGATACATTTTGAATTATAAAAATATAAAGTAGTGATAAAGTTTGGATCATATATTAATTTCTTTCTTTTTATTCTTTTTTCAAATTTATTTAATTTTTATCATATCACTGACAACATTAGAAAATTTCATGTAGTATATATGTTACAGTCAAAACCCGTTTTTAGTTAGAACGCGTTTTAACTAGTTGAAACTAGTTTATACTGAATGTCTTTGTTAAAACCCGTTTTGTCTAGTTAAAACTAGTTTTAACTCAAATTCATTTTTGACTAGCAGTAAATTCTAGTTTTACTATTTTGACTAGCAGTAAATTAATTAGACAAAACTGGTTTTGTCTAATTAATTTACTGCTGTACATGATTTGATTTTAGATAAAACTAGTTTTAACTTTTAACATTAGTTAAAACTAATTTTAGCTAC